TGTGGTAGCCGCAGAAATCTTGATTGAGATAATTTATTTCTTTTCTCAACTCTTTCTTCAACTTATTTACACTCAAGTCTTAGTTCCTATTTTTTCAAAATTGTATTACCTTCAACTTTATAGAACTTAACTACAGTTGCTATTCATAATATAAATTTTCATTTCAGTCGCGTTGCCCATCTGCAACCCAACTGCGGTTGAGTTGACATCCATAATCGACCCATTATCTTCCAAAAATACCGTTGGTTATTACCAGGGAACGGATTTTTAGGACCTAAAACCCTATAAAAAAAGGCAAAATAAAATAGCGACAAATGCAGAAAAAGGCACTAGGTATTGCAAAAAAGGCAGGAAAAGGCACTAGGTATTGCAAAAAAGGCAAAAAAAGGCAAAACAAAATAGCGAAAAAGGCAGGAAAAGGCACTACGTATTGCAAAAAAAGCAAAATAAGGCAATAAAAAAAAGCAAAAAATACGAAGAACAATCAAAAAATACATTTATTTTAGAAATATTTATATTACAAGTAAAAAGAGAAAAACTATGAACTAGTTTCATTATATGAAAAATTTGTACTTTGAATCTTTGACTATTTCTGTGTTCGTATGGAAAAGAAGCTTATATCGAAAGGCTGGCTTTAGTATAAATTGGCATTCGCAGCATACGATTGGGAATGACTCATTGGCGCTGAGCCGTTGAAGAACTTTTGGCTAATAAACGCGCAAGAAATAGTTCCGATACTAGCAAATCAATATTCTTATTAAGTCTCATCAAAAAATTCGTTGTCGTTTAAAGAACAAAGGGAATGCCGCATTATACTAAAGCCAGCCTTTCGACATAAGCTACTGTTCCATACGAACACAGATTTTATCCTTTCGAGTTTCTAACTCATAAAACTTTAATCTGTATAGTTGTAGTAACATTGAACCACAAGATGCATTTTGAAGTTTTCTGGCAGCATTGTCATTCGATTTTCGCGAAGGAAAGCATTGAATGTACTAAATGTGCGCTCGACGTAAGTTGATACAAGTGGAGCCCAATTTAAATATGGAACATTTGAAACGTTCATATTATCAGGAATAAGGGCGTTCTCCTCGCCCTTTACAATTTTATCCACACCCCTTATTGTCTCCAAGCCTACGTTAGCTGAGAAAACGGCTTTGAATTTTTCCAACATCAATTTGGCAAGAGGTCCCTGCGCTTCTATAAGCCGCATGGGCATGTGTATATTTTTTAATGTTTACAAAAAAATTGTAAATGCTATAATCACTTTTTTAAAGGTAGAAAAGGCAAAAAAAAGGCAAATATCTTAAAAAAGGCAAAAAAGGCAACATCAAATGTGTATATATGGAATAAAGGAAAGCTAAATCGTGGACATTCTTAATCGAATATACTCTATCTCTTTAGTAGAAAAAAAGGCAATTTCCATAAAATCCGTTCCCTGGTTATTACGCTTATTCTTTCAGTAAGCTTCAAATCCTTCCATCTTTTCTAATCTGGATTTTTGATCGTGAAAATATTATCCGGAGAGTTTCTTTACGTTCAGAAACTGTGATAAATGCAAACTGCAAAAATGCATATTTTCGTATCGATCGAAATGCACTCGGGATTCCTTATCAGGGACTGAAAATAACCATTATTTTTTTCGATGTTATAAAAGTCCTTCGCAAAATATTGCCGTAAAAGAAAGATATCAATGTTCTTTGATCCCAGGGCCTCCTGGACAAAAATGCTGGATTATTTTTTTTAACTTTTTAGGAAAAAGTCCAATAATACCTAAAATAATCCGGATTTTTATTTTTATAGTCCAGTAGTAACAGTTAAACTTGGCCAAATATTTTGCAAGACCGAAATAAAAGTCCCTTCTTAATAATTAACAAACCGCTCATCCAAATTAAACAAATTTGGTATCTAATAAACAGGACTGAAATGGCTTAAAAAAAATATCTTAATGAAGGTTACCAACTATTTATATATGACCAATCCCATCTCAAATCATTCAAGCTGACAGCACCTATCTCTTCGAATCACTTGAAATTTTAGTATATTATTCTACTCGGAAAATAAGCGCACACGTTTTTTTTATTTGTCGATATCATCAAAATTAAGTGTTTCATACACTATCGAAAAATTACTCCAAAATTTTCGATTCTCACAAATCGAAAATTTTTTCATTCTAATTCGAATTTTAATTGGTATTTTAATATAATTATATATCTATTCGATGCTATGGCTGATGTTCCTGTTTTTCAAAAAGGCCATATTTTTATGGCTAAATTTTATTTTAAAGATATTTTGATGTATTTAGAATTTATGTTATTTTTGTTTTTTAAGAGATTTAAAATAAAATAAAAAAATATATTTTAGCCCAGTTAAGTTAGCTACAATAATTCGCATTGAGCTGAAATTTGGTACGAATGTTGGAAACGCCTTTATAAATGAAATGTAAAGAGGTCCCGTCGATTCCACATCCGCAAAAAATTTATTCGAGGTCAAAGGTCACATAAATTGGTTTTTTACATTTGTCAGCCAAACTGTAAGGTGTATCATAAAAGTAGGTGTCACAAAAGTTTAGATCACACTTTACAAATTTAAGAAAATGTTCTGACCTATAGCATTTTATTGTCTTTTCATATATGAAATTTACCCCTGAATCCGATTATGAAATCAAAGGTTAAGAAAGTTGAACAGTTTTCGAGATATAGCTAAATTTCCGTTTAGTCAATTAATTTATTAAGTAATTAAATATCCCACCAACAGTGCGTGCAACACTTTTCAATCAAACTGTCGGTTTAGGAGCCATTTATGAATTTCGCGAGAAGTTTTTATCATGTTTACAAAATTTCACAAACAAATTCAGTTTTTCTGTAAATTACTTCTTAAAAAAACGTTTTTACTTCCGGTTTCTTCATTGTACGTCAAAGTATGATCTTTTAGGAAGAAAATAAACCCTAGCCAATCCAAATTGGATTGAAAATTTAGAAATCAAAGGCACTGAAGTAAAAATTCAGAAAACACATTTTTTCAATTGTATCACACAAGTTTACCGAAATGAAAAAATTTTCCGACCTGCGATATTTTTATATGCATTATAATGTAAATTTTTCCACTGAATGTGAATACGAAATCAAATGTAAAAGAGTAGAACAGTTTTTGAGATAAGTATAGTCGAATTTCGGGTTTTTGAGATCTGAAAAAAGTGCACTCACTTAATTACAATTTTCTTGGGACATAGTTAGCCAATCTTAAATTTATTTTTATGTCAGCAAAGGCTATTAAATTTTCTATCCTCTGTGTCCACAAGATTGTCCAAATAAATAAGCAACTTTTGTTAAAAGGTATGCGAACTTGTCGATAAATCAATGTGTAACTCCTAAATTTCTTATCCAGTTGGATGATATTGTTGACGCAGATGATAGCAAATTTAATGGCCTTTACTAATGCAAGAATAAATTTTAGATTGGCCAACTATATCCAAACAAAATTGCAATTAAGTGAGTGCCCTTTTTTCAGATCTAAAAACACAAAATTTGGCTCTACCACAAAAACTGTTGTACTTTCTTGTATTCTGACTTCGTATTGGTATTCAGCGGAAAACTCTTTATAAAACTGCATGTCAAAATGTCACGGCTGGCCAATTATGTCAAACATTTTTTTCAGATCTCAAAAACCCGAAATTCGGCTATGTCTCAAAAACTGTACCACTCTTTTAAATTTTAATTACATGTTCGCATTCAGCGGAAATTCTTCAGAAAAACGCTTATGAAAATGTTGCGGTTGGACAACTATATCCAAAGAAAATTGTAATTAAGTGAATGCATTTTTGTCAGGTCTCCAAAACTTGAAATTTGGGTTGCCTCACCTCTATGAAACTTTTGTTCCTAAGAATTACCATTTCTGAGTCATTTTTTTTAAATGCATGAAACACGTACTTTTGATGATATCGACAAATAAAAAAATACGTATGCGCTTATTTTCCGAGTAAAATAATATACTAAAATTTCAAGTGATTCGAAGTAGAGGTTTACGCCACTGAGCCACGCCGCCACCGCCGTTTTTTTGTAATTTTTCACTCGCCATCTGAGGATTAAAGTACAAAATATTCGTGATATACAGTGGTCGAAAGAATTATAGCCGCAAATGTAGGTCTATGTTACGTAGTTTGACTATTGACAATTAAATCTAAGGGCCGGTCGCTCAAAGCCTGGTTGATACTAATCCCCGGTAAAACATCGTTATCGACGTTACCGACACCGTATTATATGTATGGAGTCGAAAACGTCGATAACGATGTTAACCGGTGATTAGTGTCAACCAGGCTTTGAGCAACCCGCCCTAATTGTTTGTATTGTTTATAATGACTTTTACTAAAATTTCAAAATCAAAAATTATCAAAACAAATTTTCTGGGACTGAGAAATATTATTTTCTTCTTTTAGTCTATTTATAAAATCGTGGTGTATTAAAAAGTTTTTGTTTTATTTCTTTTATTTTTTTGCAATAGATATTAAAATATAACGCGGTGTCGTTAACGTCGATAACGATGTTTAACCGGGAAGTAGAGATAACCAGACATTGAACAAGCGGCCCTAATAGATTGGTGAATATATGTATGTACATACATACGAGCACCAATTAATTTCATTTAAAGAAATGGCGTGTCGTCCATTTCCGCTGTAGCGTATGTAGTGCATATTTTTAGGCATAATATATAACTACTTGCGGCGAGGCGACATCCACCTCTACAGTTTTGATATGATACCAGGCGACGAGGCTGATGTCTAGACTTTTTATAGGATCTTTGCAAACAAAGTGTTTATAGCTATAACTGGTGTCTGGACGCACAACATTGCAAGTTTATAAAAGCGTTGTAAAAATCGTGGTCATTAAATATCAACAACCCCTTAGCTTCGTGTTATATATATACTGTATATCTACACATGTAAATATTTATATACTGAAATGTTTTCCTTAACCATACAAAACCGATTTTTTATACAACAGACCATTCGAATATTTGATTCTATTAACTATTTTTGCAAACTGTGTTGCTTTAGCGGTTTATACTCCGTATCCGTTCAGTGATTCCAATGTGACTAATCAAGCGTTGGTATGTATTCATGAGAGTAATTATGTTTTAATAGTCTTGAGTCACATTTAAATTAATATTTAATAACTATTTTAGGAAAAAATAGAATACGTATTTTTAGTAATATTTACGTCGGAATGCGTTATGAAAATCATAGCATACGGATTTTTATTGCATGGTGGCTCATATTTGAGGAATGGCTGGAACATTTTGGATTTTTTCATTGTGGTGATAGGGTAAGTACTTTGAAAATGTTAACATTCGGATCTGATTCGAATTTTGTTTATTATTTTGAAAAAGCATGCGAGTTTTAAAATCCATACATACGCCAGTTAGCTTTATGTTTGAATTTGTCATTGCAAAATTACTTACTTGTCGAATCTTGGACGAGTGATGCACCTCTCTACTAATAACTATTTGCTATGTATACCAGTATATGTAAAAGCAAAATATGTTTAGCAGCACATAACTACGTTAGGGCTGCCATAATACTGAACACATCGACCAGGACACTTATCATCCAAATCAAAAACAGAGACACAAGTGAATCTGGCGCCAATGTATTCCCTATAAGTGCAGTTTCTTCGGTTTTGGCGTTGCATTATTTTTCTGATCACAATCCGTAAAGTTGAATGATCGATTATTATGAAACGCTCAAGTTCTGAAATTTGTTTAAACCATAAAATAACAAATTTCTCTTGACGGGGACGTAACTGTGAAAACTGTTTGGCACCTTTAACGTGATATTGAATGCTTGCCTTACCACCATTAGCAAATTTCATGATCATTTTTGCCATTTTGTATATGCATAACCTAAAGATAATTTAGGTAGGCTGTCTGAAGTGAAGCCAAAAGGGGTTTCTATTTACAATTTACGCGAATGTACCTTAGTATATATATTACTTACACTGAGCCAATGGTACAATAGTTTTTCAACCTTAATATGTATTAGTTATTTTATTTTTCATGGTAAATAATCCGATTGTAAGAAATGTGATTCAAGTTGAACATTTTTGTGTTTGGCTGTAGCTAAACGTGCAGAGATGCTTGCTGTTTTATTTGTTGGCTTACAGCAGGTTCGAGTTCGAACACCGTCAGAGGAAACGTGAAATTTTTTTTATTTTTGTTTTTCTTATATACGAAAAAGCATCTGTGAAGTGCAGAACACCATCAAACAACAACGAAAATTTATTCAAGTTCAACATTTGATGGAACATTTGCAGAACGGCTAAGGCTGAGTGTGCAGAGATGTTATATGCTAAATTTCAGATAATCTGGATGCAAATCCCGTCAAAGGCAAAAATAAAATTTGTTTTTGTATCTCCTTTGTCTTTGCTTAAATGCTGCAAAGTCGTATGTGTTGCCCATTAGTAAACGTGTAGTACATGTGGAAGATATTCCCAAACTGTTTATTGGTAATAGCGTCCTGATCATGTCTGACAAGATAAGAAATTTAGGATTTGTTGTTAATTCTATGTTGAGCTGTTCTGACCATGTGAATAATGTTGTAAGTAACGTGTATGCTGTTTTACGTAGATTAAGAATGTCAGCGTCGTTTACACCCTTAGATACAAGAAGAAAGTTATCTATTCAGCTTATAGTGCCGCAGATCACGTACTGTGGGCTAGTGTATAGCAAGTTTGACTCTATTTCGTTTCACAAAATTGATGTTGCGTTTAATAACGTTACACGTTACGTTTACGGCCTCAAAAGATATGACCACGTTTCTATGTGGAAAAACAAAATTCAGGATGCAGCATTTTTGAATACCTAGCGGCTAGAAATTGTATATTTATGTATAAGCTTATAGAATTCAAAACTCCAAAATACCTTTTTGAAAAATTAAAATCAACAAGGACTAATAGAAATCAAAGTCTGATTGTCCCCAAATATTCCCACTTGTCTTCAGCTAGGCTGTTCTTCATTAATGCTGTAAGGCTCTGGAACTCAGTTCCTGAATCCGTAAAAGCAGCGCAGATACAGCCTCATTTCTTAAATAAATATGAAATATGAAATATGAATTATGAAAAAGCCTCTGTGAAGTGCAGAACATACAAACGAAAAAATCGGCAATCAAAATTTTGTTTAAAGTAAATAAAAGTGAGGTTAATATTACCAAATCATTGTTGAGAATATCAACCATGGCATTGTTAATATTAACCAAAAATCACAATTATTGAATTTTTCCTCAGTTTAGCATTAATTGAAAGTTTCAATAAAACATATTTGATATGAACCTTAAATAAATTCCTTAAAGAAGTATGATCTTTATGAATTAAAACACAGCTTTAAAAACTTATTCAAAAGGCCTACAAAAGCCCTTCAAAAAGCTTTTCTTTGAGTAGCGAAACCAGAAGCCCTTCAATTTGTGCCACTCCATAAAAAAAGGAATGACTTTCAGAAATGCCTTTTGGAAGAGATTTTAACTCCTGAAATTATCTACTGTGTGGTTTCTGTGACCCCCTCAGCCATGTTCAGGAACTTGTATTTTTTTTTGGCATTGCCTGAAGATAAAAATTTAGATTTTAACCAAATAAACTAAACAGAAAGAAGGTAAACTCACCAGATATTATTGAACAGGTTAAAAAAACGTTTCGTTATTGATTTTCGACTACTTATGACAGAAAGCTTAACCTTTTTTTTAAGCAAAAATCTGCTAGAAATTAGGATGTCTGCATTGACCTTCATTTAAAAACCAGGACAATTTAAGTGTGGATCAGGACACCAGGACAATTTGTCTAAATCAGGACAAATCCTGGAAAACCAGGACGTCTGGCAGCCCTAAACTATGTACATACAGGTACATATTTATCGAAATATTTTATTTTATTATTGTAACAAGAAATTTCAGCACTTTCGCAGTTTTCGGTTCGCTTAGAACTGAATATTTCATTACCACTGTGGCCAAATCAAAATACCCTAAACATGGTTTTAATATTCTTTATAAACAACATGTACAATTTAGAGAAGCTACAAACTGAAGCGGTTGATAGCCCGAACACAATTAGTGCGTTCAAGCACGTCTACGATTTGCAGGTTTTGCAGGATTTAGTCCAAAGTCGTTCCCGTCCGCCAAAAAATCTGTATCTGGGAACACTCTGGTGAGAGTAACTGAGCAACTGTTCCCAAAATGAAGTTTCAAGATTTAGTCCGGAGTTTTTCTTCCAGCAAATTCATGAAAAGTGTCAAACCATAGGTAGAGTTGCATTTGTGTGCAAAAACTGAACGCGGTGAAAGCAAATAACCTTACATTTGTTAAAAAATGGAAGGAAATAATGAAATATTCGAATATATATGCAATTATTATTAATTGTATAGATTTTAATCATTATTTAGTGATATTTCAGCCAAATCAGTCTTGTACTAATGACAAGTAAACACAAATGACGTTTTTGCTGGAAAAAGTGCTTTTTGCATTCCCGTACACTTCTGCATCTGTTCTCCTGTTACTCTCAGTTGAGAGAGTAAAATTGTACTTTGACATTTCCGAAGAGTACTGGAACAAACTAAATGAAAACGATAAGCTACGTATGTATTCTTATGTAGATAATTATTTTGGCGACGACAGGGCTTCGCGACGACTGTGGTCGTGGCCAGATTAGATCTGTTTCTATTTTTCCAGCGACAGATAAGGTTCTTCCTCTTCTTTTATGTCAAACTCATGATTTAATAATTAAAGGTTAGATAATTATTGACAGCCGCGGTTTGACATTCCCTTACAAAAGGTTGCATTTACGAAGGGCAGAGAAAGGGGGAAGAATGAAATCCCCTGGTTCGAAAATTGTACTAGAAAAGTACACATTAGTAGTGAAATTCCAGGAAATTTGGCATTTTAAACGAAATATTGAATTAAATATTATGATATATACATGAATTATGTAATTCATGTCCTATTTAGCGGTATAAAAACTGCAAAAGGGATCTAACTCAGAATAAAACAACTATAAGTTGTATGTAAACATCGAAGTTAAAAGCAATTTATGTTTCCATCAGTTAAATGTGCTTTATATGCATATACAAATAAACATATTGCACAAAAACGTATATGTATTTCTATTTCACACAAAAGCTACACTTTTTAAATAAATTGCAAAGAAGCAACACCGTGCCACTGCTAAGAGAGCGGTGCGAGAGAGACAACTGTCAGTTATCTAACCTTTAATAATTGAATCATGTGTCAAACTCATACAAATTGGTGATGTCGCTGCCGCGTTAAAAAAATCATGTCGCCGTCGACCAAGCGTTTAGAAAATGAAGATGATAAAGCTGTGGTCCATAGCTCGTTTTCAATGTGTTCAGCACTCGATACTGCATTTACTTATCTCCAAACGTGTAGTCTTCTCCTAAGGGCCAAATTCACAGTGCGTAGTTAAATCAGAATCCGCAGTTAACTACAGATTTTCAGCTCTGAGTTAACTACGCACTGTGATTTTGGCCCTAAGTCGAATTCAAAAGAAAAATTAAATACATAACCTAGAACCAAAATATAATTTTCGTTATAAAAAATTAAATATTACATACATCTAAAAGGTGTCGTATTATTGTATGTCGTACACACTTTCAAGTCATCTAAACATATATTTAACGACACCTTGTGAATCACCTACAATACATGAGTTTATAAAACGCGAGATTTATTGTTAGCTGATTTTAGGAATTACATACTATTCAAGTTTGCATGTTTTATAAGAATTTAGGCAAATGAAAATTAATTGCATTTTGAGTTTTACATTAAACGAGGAATATTTTTTAAAAATCGAACTATTTTAACATTTCTACATTCACAGAATGATAAGTACCGTGCTGTCAAATCTGATGAAGGAAGGATTCGATGTGAAAGCGCTTCGAGCTTTCAGAGTTCTACGTCCTTTGCGATTAGTTTCAGGAGTGCCAAGTAAGTACATAATGAAGCTTTAATATTTTGATTTAAATCATTACAATTCAACTTATGAATTAAACACGACCTGCGAAGCTAAAGTGCTTGTCTGCAGGTGAATACGTACGACGATTATATACAGGGCCGTCGAGAGAAAACTCGGGCCCCGGACTGTAAAATCATGGGCCCCTATATATAAATTGTATTAATTTAAAAGCATGTGGTCATTTCCTTTAATGTGTAGAGTCCGAAATAATCAGCACGAATCGGAATATATTTATAATATAAGCCTATAATGAAGGAGCAACAACATTGTAAAATGATAAGAAGTTAAAAAGCCCGGGCCCGGGGGTATTCGCCGTTGTGGAAAAATGAGATTTAGTAACCCTGAGCTGCAGGCATTGAGAGTTATGCATAAAAATCGTTATTAAAACAAAAGATTTGTAAAATAATAGCTAGAGAAAATACCGGCTATCAAGGCAAGGCATTCAAAGAAAACCCGTTTTGTCGCTCTTCTGTAAAATTTGAGTGCCGTATATAGGTGGGTTGTCAATTAGTTGATGGGCGGTTTTGCAGAAACATCGACAATATTTACTTATAAGTAAAACAAATGCACGTTTTCGTTATTGGGTGGATATGAACAACTACCCTTTGTTTTTATTCTGACCGTAATGTCACGTTCTTCCTTGTCTCCTACCACAACATTCATTATCCTCAAAGGACCGCCGTTTATTGCTTCAAAGACGTTGCGTGTAGAGAATATTCTGGTTATTCGACTATTAGTAGCTCTCACTTCTATTTCAGGTATCGCCAGTTGCTCACTAAGTTGTTGAAGGAACATCCTATGTCGGACTTTAGAGGCCTTCAGGTGTAGGTTGTTCTCTACGTATATTATGTACATAGTACTGAGTATGTTTTGGGTTTGGAATCTGTCAGTTTGTGATGGTGCAGCAGCTCAAATTCTTCCTTCTTTGCCAGTATAGTTTGCCCGGTATATGGTTAAGATCAAAGGAGTGCAATAAGGCCCCCGGATATAACGCCCATGGGCTTTATTTCCCAAAAAAAGAAAAATAAAGCCCATGGGCGTTATTTCCATTTCAAAGGGGAAATAGCGCCCACCAATAAAAGGCAATAAATCCCGCGGGCTTTATTTCCTTTGCGAAAGAGCAATATTGGCTGCGGGCTTTATTTCCCAAAGAAAAGGAAATAACGCCTGCTTGATTTATTGCATAAAGAAGGAAATAAAGCCCGTGAGTAGTATTTTCTCTGGCTTTATTTTACTGAAACATTCCAATTATGTATACAGACATAAATTTGCATAAAATGCCACGTATTTTTAACGAGTTGCTCTCTATTTTGCGTTAAATTGCCTTCTGCAGTATACGCATAAAATGGAACGGTGTTTTTTCCAGTAACTGATAAGGGAAGTAATGTAAATTAAAGGTAAATTGTTACCGTTTTTTTTAGCCTTCAATGCGATGCGCATATTTGTTCTCAACGTCTTAGGTATTTCAGTGGTGGTGGGCAAACGCGGATGGCCGCGGCACGAGCGCCGCGCTGCGTCGCGACGTCGGATGGCGCCAACGCGGACCGCCACGGTTGAGCGCCAAAAGGATCGCTTCCCCCCTGCCCCCCTCGCCATTACGCCGGAAAATTTATTTGTTTATACTGAGAAGGCGACTGAAAATTTTCGCAAACAACAAAAATTAGTAAAGGGGTCGAGTGGTTTGTGTGATATTAAGGCACACACCGCCCGCCAATCGGAGGAGAAACTCGGCCAATCATTTTAAACTTTGCACAGATTGCTTTGCAGACCACAGTAGGCGTTCTAATCTAAATGGTGATACAAGCATTTTGTGTCCAATTTTAACTTTTTACTTATTCATGTTCGTTTTTTTTGTTGAAAATTTGCATTATTAAATTTTTATACGCATGTACATACAAACATACATATGTATTAAAAATATGCATTGAAATTTTTAATGTCAATTTGTTCGTATAATAAAGCAAAACAAATATTTAGTTTAACGTTATCATATTAGTTAGTTTTTATTTAGAACTGGAGGTTTTGGATGTACATATTCTAAAATGGAGACAAGAGCCACAATAAAGGTGAAATAACGCCCGCGGGCGTACTTTTCCAAGGCATTTAAAAAATGCGTATAATTTTCGTCACGGAATTGATATCATACATTTTGTGTTTCTAGTTCAGCCTTCGTCACTCGAAAATTTTACCTCAAAGAGGTGTTTTATTTGATTTTATATACGCGGCGCAGGTATCAAATATCATCGTTTCAACTTTCTCTCAACTACCTTTGCATGATAATCAGCGGTGTTTATTCCGACTTCAAACGTTTTCAATAATATGCTGACTTAATGAAATCATTGGACCAAGTTTGATAGAAATCTAAAAAGCGGTTACCAAGATAGACCTTTGGAGTATTAAAGTGGGCGGTGCCACGTCCACTTTCTAAAAGTCTATAACAGTCTTATTTATTGTTAAGAGACTGTTGAAAGTATTAACTTGGAGTAAATTAGTGTCCTCAGTTTTTTAAATATCGGAGTTTTTGTATTTTGGAAATTTACCGTTATACGGGAAGTTTAGTCCGATTTGAATAATTTTCAACAAATTGCTTTTCCGTACCAAGGATATAAGGTGCACCCATTTCGGCTGAATTTGATGAATCGGTTTTCGAAATACACATTTGTGATCATAAGTGGGCGGCGACACGCCCATTATCCAGAAATTTATATTAATCTAATTTTCTGCTAAGCGATTATGCAATCGTAGATTTTGAGTGAATTAGCTTCAATAATTACTGATTTATCGAAGTTTTCCTATTTCTGTAAACTGCCGTTATATGAGAGGTGGGCGTGGTTATAGCCCAATTTCAAAGATTTTCAGCAGATTTTTTAGCTGGGCCCTAAGCAAGGCTCGGACCGAGTTTGGTAGGGATTGGTGTAGCGGCTACTGAGATAGAGCATTTCATCATAAGCGGGCGGGGTCATGCCCATTTTCCAAAAATTTTATAATGGGGAAAATTCTTGTTTTCGTACGAATCGAAAATCATGAAAAAAAAATTTCAAATTTTCGATTCATACGTAAACAAGAATACGTTCCAATAATATTATTTCTTACCATAATTCCACTTCACGTACAAATTTTCAACAGTTTTGATTGAATATTTACTGAAATATCGTAGTTTTGCATTTTTCGAAAATACCGTTATATGGGAAGTGGGCGTGGTTACAGTGCGATTTCGCCCATTTTCAATACAAACCTACGTTGGGTAAAGTTCGTTGAGATATCTCAATTTTTGGCTGAGTTATCGTGTACACGGACGGACGAACGGACAGACAGACATGGCTTAATCAACTGCTCTTTTCATTCTGATCATTTATGTATACATATATATCTATGTAGGGAAAGACGGTTCGCTTGGTTATTTAAATAAAGTGACGTTTATTCGAATGTTCAATTGTACAATAATTTCGACCTACAACTATGCGACAGTTTGGCGACTGTGTTGTGCGCGCTTTGACATAAAATGATAGACTCTCTGGATGGATACCATGTCTTCTGTTCGTTCGTTAGTTCGTCCTCTGTCTATTCGTTCCTTCGTTCTATCGTTCCTTCGTTCACCTACCTAGTGTTGCCATATACCCCGATATCCCATTCCCACAATCGGCCGTCCTGACAAGTTATTCGACTCTGAATAACTAGCGCCACGGTTTCATGTTTTCGGCTACGGTAGTCGTTCTTATCTGCCCCTCTTGATTCCCGACCTTCTCAACCTCATATCTTCCGTGGTTCAACTTGGCGGTTACCTTATACGGCCCTAGATATTTCGGTCTCAACTTCATGGCCGTGCCAAATTGTGTTTTTTTAATGGCTACTAAGTCATTAAGGTTATAATTGACTTCTGTTTTCCTATTTTTATTGAACGTCCTGCAGTTTTCGTATTGTATTTTCTTGATGTTTTCTTGGGCATTTTGTCTAACCAAATCTCGTTCAGTATCTAGCTCCTCGGTTGTCACTTCATCTAAAATTTGTCGCAAATCTGGGTAATCGTTTACCCGCATGTCTAGTCCGGTAAGAATTCTAAAGGGCGTTGCTTTGGTGCTGCGCGGTATAGTGTTATTCAGAACTTGCTACACTTTTGCCACGTGGTTGTACCACTGGGTGGGGTTGCTTTGACACTTCTTTGAAATCATTGGGATAACTGTTTTGTGGACGCGTTCCACTTGCCCGTTCCCCCGAGGTACTCCCGTCGCGATTTTCAAGTGCTGGATATTTCCTTTAGTGCAATAATCTCTGAAAGGGTTCGACGTAAACGCCGATCCCCTATCGGTTATTATCCGCTTAGGGTTACCAAATATCGCCGCTTCTTTTTCTAGTTTATCTATTACCTCCTCGACCCCCGTGGACTTAGTTGGGTATAACCACGTAAACTTTGAAAACCCGTCGACTATCACTAGAATGTGGTTATACTTTTTCCGCGTTTCGGTTAATGGTCCGACGTGATCTACGTGATAGGTCCCTAACGGCTCGCAGGCTTTATCTATTGGCACTAAGAACCCTTCTTTTTTGCCTCTTTTTGCATCTATGACTATGCATTCCACGCAACTCTTCACCACCTTTGCCACCTTTTCGGCCAAGTTGGGTATGTAATAGTTTCGCTCTACCAACTCCTGAGTCTTTTTACTAGCAAAGTGATTTTGATCGTGTGCCAATTTTATTATCTCAGTCTCCATGCTGGAAGGCACAACGAGCAGTTCTTTCACGGGATCACTATAAACGATACCGTTTTTCATGAAAAATTCCTCATAATTTCCTGTCTCTAAAATCTTTTTTACCGCTCTTATCCAACTATCCTGTGCTTGGGCTTCTCTCAGTCTAAATGTTAGTGCATCTTCGACTAATAAGCAGTAAACGCGACTCAGAGCGTCCACATGCCTCATACGCGATCCTGACCTGTGCTCGACCACGTAGTCGTACTCTTGTAAATACATTGCCC